AAGAACAGTCCCTCTAAAGACTTTACTGTAACTCAAATGGACAGGCAGGAGCACATCCATATATTGGAATAAATTCGTATCTGGACCTGAGAAGATTTCTTCTTTGAAATGATAGTGTGGCTACATCATCTTTTCATTCACTCACTCATTCATTCATTCATTCCAAGAAAACCTCCATGCCAGGCATCAAACTAGGGGTCGGGGATCTAAGGACAGCTAAGACGTGGTCTTTTCTCCTCAAAGGGTAAGGTCATAGCCACATGAAGAGAATACTAACAGCGCCAGGCGGGAACTGGAAGAGGAGCACATAGAGGGGCTACATATAGGAGGGTCCATGCAGGAGTGGGAGGGACCATTCACTGTGTCTGGGGCTCTCAGGAGGCACTCCCAGCAATGGTTTCTGAGTAGATTTTGAAGGCAGGGGAGGAGGATGTGCACAGGGAAAAAAGGCTCCGGTAGACTAACAGCGTGAACATGGGGCAATGAGCGTGCAAGGCCCATCTGAAAAGGGTGAGTTAATTCCTTTAACTGGGCTAGAGCACCGCCCACAGGAACATTAATTTTCTCACCACGCCCCTCAGTGTACGACCCAGCAGCCATAATTCAGATATTCTTAATCCAAACCCCTAGGGGCTCTAAGAAAATAGATGAAAATTCCATATTAAGAAATGATGTCAGAGTTTAAAAAGAAATGTTAGCACTGTAATAATGTCATTCAACAAATATTTGAATACCTCTACTCTGCCTGGGGTAGAAGAAACACAAAAATGAAGAAAAATGTTATCTGTAGTATGAACACTGGGTTCTGTTCCTGTGTCCGCCACTAGCCAGCTGTTGACCTTGAAAAAGAATCACTAAACTGCTCTGGGGCTATTTTCTCATCTCTGGCGTGGGTAGACTCCATCCATGAGGTTCTCCCTCATTCTCCCAATGGATGCGTTTAATGGAACAAGATCAAATCCCTCAAAAACATCAAGGAGAGGAGCAGTAATCAAAAATGGTTTCACCAAGACTGATGGGAAATCCCCAGGAGTTCTTGACATCCCCCCACATCCGCCCCAGCAGCAATGCAGGAAATCTAGTCCACTATCTCCAGCAGACTCAATGGAACCATTTCCTTAATGAAACCCCCCTCCCTGCAGTCCCAGATGCTAAGCCAGAAGCTTTCCTTTCAAGCCCTCCCTCAATTACCCCATTCCTCCCATTTCCTTCCTCTCCCTCAGTCTGGTATAAAATCCAGTAGTTTAATCAGCAGCATGCACTTTCCACGCACCCAAGCGTGTGAGGAACCACCGGTAATCCTGAAAAGCATGTGGGAGGGGACCTCGTCATTCCAAACCAGCTCACCAGTATGCTAAGGCCAATGGGACAAAACGGATTCTTTTGTTCTAGTAAATTGGTTAAGCCCAGATGCAACAGATGCTTCTAATGCTTTGGACCATTCCTAATAATATATTTTAACTTAAAAAAAAAAAAAAAAAAGGCTGGGTGCTATTTCAAATGTCCTTTCTCCCCTATCCACGATGACAAATACTCACAATTATGAGATGTCCTTGATATCCAACAAACTCTTGACCCAACTGAACCAAGGACCTAACACCAGCAAGCTCTGTATTTCATACCCAAGTGCCAAGAGAGCTTCCTTCACTTGCTTTCCATGCTTAAGCCCGTTCGCGTACATATCTCAACTTAAAGCGCCACAGAAGGCTGCCCTGCTATTGGTTCTTGCTTTGCAGAACTTGCCAGGGCACAGTAAATACCAGCCATAACTTTGCAACACACTATTTTTAACTTCTATATTCTATGCATTCAAAGTAGATTTAGAATATCTCAATAGTTTTTGGTAAGGAGAATAAAGTGATTACTTGGTTTGTTCTAAAAAAAAAAAAATCACATAAAATACAGGTTTAGTATCCTCATTGAAATCTAAAGTTCTTTTAGAACAAAGTGAGCATTAATAATAAAAAGAAATATATGGGTTTAAAATGACTGGCATTATTAGAAGAGATGATATAACTAGAATTACACATTCTGCTTTAAAAAGAAAAAGAAAAAAAAAGCCCAAGATGGTTACTACTTGGGCATACTGTAATAGCTTAGCTCTTGCAACCCACTAAAGACCAGTTAACTGGTTGGTCAGGTGCATTCCACTAGTGAAAAAGAAAATACAGTGTGATTACTAATAGCAGGGGGAACCTCATTCTTTCAGCCTCAGTTCTGGCATTGCAGGGTTCACTCTCTATTCTATATGCAAATGTAGGTAAGGGAAGGAGAAAAAGAGACACCATGTTCAGCCTATTTCTAATTTTAGAGTTGGGAAAGGGTCTTAGAAATAATCAATATTCTAACTTCTGAATTTTGCATATGAAAGTAAAAAGCCATTTAGGTTTCACTAGAAAAGAAACTGGATAGCTTTTCATAGAATGTTCAGCAGGAAAAGGAAACTTCAAATAATAATAAACAACTAAGGTAAAAATATTGAGAAACTAGAGTAGGTGACTACCCTACAGTTCTCCTGCAACATGATCCATCAGTTGGAAAACTAAGTGGATTGCCAAAGGTGCTATAAATAATTAACGTTTTCAATATGCAATTCAGAAAAACACAATCGAAAAGGCATGGCTTGGGAAAACAACAAAAATTGTTACGTAAAATTAGCTTTATTATGAGATTTATTGCATTCAATTTAGAAAAGGGTATTATTTTTATGTACATTTTGATTTAACTTTGCTATTAATGTAGACTTCCCTCGCAAAATTTTTAAGTGAAGCATTTCCAGTTAGTTACAGCAAATTGTAGGTGTTAGCTGCTCAAAAACTCAAGAAAAATCGGGCCAGAAAAAAGGGTCTGTTCCTCAAGGGTGTGGTGATTTAAAAGTAAGAAAAGGCGACTTTGTGTGGAGTAGAGGACTGGTATCCCTTTTAGAGGAAGACACCGCAATACAGAGGATTTGAAAGTATCTGAATTATTGGCATCTTTTTATGTCTTAGGAAATTTGGAAGGAGGTAAATAGACTCTTTGGAGGGTAAGGCGTTATCTTTCTGAATTACTGACCCTCTGGTTATTTTTTCCCTCAGGGCACATCGGCACATCGCTCACACACAATAATAAGCCCTGATGAATACACAAAGGATATGTAACAACTGAAGGCGAGCAGACCGGGCTCATGGTGGGTGCAAGTAGACTCCTGATAAATCCTCCGGGCAGAAACTTGGGCCCCTTCTGGACCCTCTCCTGGAGCTGCAGCCCCTCAGCTGTTTGAATGTCCTGATTTGGTTTAGAAAGCATGTAGCACTGATTCGCTGAGAGATGTCTGTTGGCCAGTCAGAGAAGCCTGTGGTCTGGGAAGGCAGACTTCGAAATTACAAACCCCAATAGCTGACAGAGTTCAGAGTTCCTTAAACCGGCAGGTAAAGAGGTTCTCACCTTGCCAGTATTTTGTCTTGCTTTCTTCCTATAACACATATGTAAATTTTTTTTAAAAATCACAGAGTTCCAAGATTTCTGCCTCGTTTTAAGTAAAATAATATCTAAGAGGATCTCCCATTTCTGACAACCTTCCACAGATCTAAGTGGCCCCTAATTACAAAAAGAACTATACTTCACTCGTCAACCGCAGATTTGAAACAAAAATAAAGATATATCTGTGAGAAGAAGAAAATTTAATAAAACATATTTTCTTTCTTCCATTTTTGGATTCACAGTAATTCACCTTTACATAATAGGCAGATAGACTTCAGCAAGTTATTTATATACTCTTAGCAATTGTTTCAAAATAAGTGACTCTTCAAAACGAAAAATGCATTTTTGAGTAAGAACAGCAATATTTCATTTCAACAGTTATTTTAGCAACTATTTCCAATTTACAGCGCGCTTGCCTCTCGCGTTAATGGTTTCACCAATCTAATTGAAACTATTACTTGTTATTTAGAAACTGCCGGTCTAATTAGTCTTCCCACTGAGAAGGAATATTTAACTGTTACAGCCTTTGGGGGTGAACAAGAATTTTTTTTTTTTTAAATATACTCAACTGTACTGAATTCCTTCCCTGAATCATTGTAGTAACTTCTTTTATGTTACAGTCTTTTGTCCGGCGGGGCTGAACCAAGGGCTTGGCCACTCGGCCCGCCGGGCAGGGCAGAGATGCGAGCGGAGCCCGTAAATCCCCTCGGGCTTTGACGCCTCACTGGGGGGGTCTCCACCCTAAACCTGGTTTGACTTCCTGGCCCGGATGGTTCGGCCACTATTTCTCTAACACCCGGCAAAAGGGTGGGTAGCAACAATTGTTCAAATCGCATCTTTTGGTCCAAATCGTCCGCCCTTTCTTCCCTCGGAATTTAAAGGCCAGGCTTGCATTCCAAAACTTAACGGTATTTGGGTTCTGGACTGTCCCCGTCGGAGACCTAGGCTGGACCGGTGGAAAGGGCCCCACCCGAGGAATGGACCCTTCTGGAACATTCCGTGGACAGTCGGGCTCGGGGGATTGAAGGATACGAGCTCTTGCCACCTCCGGGGATCTGTCTGCTCCCGGACCCCTCCAGGTGGATTCTCTTCCTTCCCTTTCGAGGTGCGACGTCGTGGCCAATGCCCAACATCGCCACGGTCGGGCTTCAGCCCAGCCCCCGGCGGCCCCGCCGGCGTTCCGGGAGCCGGGCGCAGGGCTCCGGAGGACCCCTTGGACCGGCCTCCTGGGAACAGGTCTGAGGGTCAGGCAGATCCCAGCGAGCAGCGCTCCCCGAGCCCGGAGCGAGGCAGAGGGTCAGCGACTCCAGCCGCCGAGGGGAAGCCTCTGTGCCACCAGGGCGGCGATGCCCGCGGGCCCCTCCGGCTGCTCGCTGAGGCGCGCGCCCCGACCGCCCCGCGAAGGAGAAAGGCGTCACGACCCCAGGCGTGCACGGTGAGACTCGCGTCCCAGGTTCCCGCCGAGGCTCGCCTCGCAGCGTGTCCCCGGCCCCTAGAGTGTGCCCGTGCCTCCCCATCGCTGCCCGGCCGCGCCTGACCTGTGAGCAGCAGACCGCTGAGCAGCGCGCACAGCAGGACCCCGGCGTCCCAGCAGCAGACCATGGTGAGCGCGACGCGGCCTGCTCGCCTGGTCCCCGCGCTCCCGGCGGGCGACGGACCCAGCCGCCCGGGCTTGTCTTCTTGCTCGCCGCCGCCGCCGACCCCGCGCTCCGGCCCTGCGCCCCGAGCGCCCCTCTCTGCGGCTCCAGGCAGGGAGACAGCCACTTGTCTGGTAATCCTCGCAGCCCAGCGTCCGTGGCCGCTGCGCTCCAGTCCCGGAGCCCGCTCCGAGCTGCCGCCGCCGGTGAGAGCCGCGAGGTCTGTCCGGCGCGCTCCGAGCCTCTAGCGGACCTCGATGAAGAAAAGTCGAGGGCGGGGGCCATTTATAACCTTTCTCCAGCCCACTTCCTACCCCGGCACCTCCTTCCAGTGACGTCAAGGGGTCCCCCACCCCTCATCCTCCTCCCCACCTACCCTCTTCCTCCGGGACCTGATTCCCTACGGCTGCGGAGAGGAGCGGGGGCGCCGGGGGCGGGGGACTGGGGCCGAGCGCGCGCGCGCGTGGGGGAGGCGCTGGCCCGGGAGCGCGATCCGGGCAGGTTCTGGGTCCTCGTTCCCGGCCCTCTAGCCCGCGTGCCCTCCTCCTTTCCTTAGTGCTCAGGAAATCTTGGTAGACTCCCTCTGCCCGGATTACTCAGCCCTGGGGGCCGCCCGAAGCTGGTAAGGGCACAGACTGGAGCTCCACCGCCCGCCCGGGGGCGGAAAGTCCGACCCTTGGGAAGCTGGCCGCAGTGTCCTTGGCACCAAAGAGTGAGGCGCAGTCCGGCTCCCTCCCCTTCCTTGTTCTTCCCACCTTAACCAGCCGCCTCCGCCCACTCCCCACCCTCTGCGAGCCCCCGACTGTCCCCAGACATCGGAAGGTGCCGGAAACCTTGGGCACCAGGGACTGGACCGGGAGAGCCAAAGGCACCGGACGCTTGCCTGGCATCTTCGGGAAGACAGCGTACTGGCTCCGGTCCCTAGAGAGTGCAGTGCGTCTGTATCTTTTTCGGCCGCAGATGCACCCGCCCAAGTCATTTCCTAAACCCTCAGCTTCCTAGAAGCAAAACAAGAAATAACATCAAGATACCTTTTTAAACGCCGAAGCGTGAAACTGCTCCTGCAACTTGTAAGGGCCGAGGACATGAACTTTATTTCCTAAATGCTCGGGGAAAAAAATCTTTCTGATGGCAGCTTGCTACAGAAGATGAGTGACTCTTCGAACAAAACCCGGTGAAATTGACTTGAGTCATTAGGCTATTTGCCGTGGCACTAATTCCACGTTGTTCCTTGATTTTGTCTCCATTGCCTCAAAGGCTGAAAGCCTCCTGGGCTGCACCGAGCAGTCCAACCTTGTCCCTGTAAATACCGCCGCTTTGAAAAATAGTTCCATAGGAACCTGCCAGATGGTCATGATAAAAGGCACTGTGATGGCTCCTGACCCGGCCAGCGACTCTTCCTGAAGGACCGGACTACCGCGCTGCCTGGGAAAGTTGGGCAACTGGAACTTGCCACACCTCTGGGCGGTAGAGCAAGGACAGGTCTCTGCCACCCGCCGCCCAACGTCGGAAACGCGTGTCGGAGCACCTGGCGCCAGGGCTACTGAGCCACAGTCCCTCGTGGTTCAAGAGGAAGCAGCCATTGCCGGTCTGCCGTCTTCACCACCCGTTTCCATTTTTCCAGTGCGCCTCACTGCGATCCCTGACTCCTTTTCTCTACCTCCCGCGAGCCTGGTCCCTCCCCAAACCGCAGGCTCATTCAGTTACCAGTTAGTGAACGCGGATCACAGGGCTGGAAGCTGACCACGGACCCTTCTAGCAACTGCTCCCGCAGCCCAGGCACAGTCTGAAACACACCCGGAGCCACACTTCAGAGCTGTTTGTCATTCCCTGATCTCTCCCAAGGACAGGCCTTCAGCACTGCCCTCCTGCCACCTCAGGAACCAGGCATTGTGTTAGGGCCAAAAACACTGTGATGGGAAGATCTCATTTCTGCCTTCTAAGGGGTTGAGAATCTGGCAAAGAGGCCAGAACGACCCAGTGCGAGGCTGGCTTGTGTTTTATGATGGGCGCGGAGAGGAGGTGGTCTGTCCCAGGACTCAGGAGAGACAGCTTACTCTGGGGGAAAGTGGTCCATAGTATGACCTACAAAAGTTTAATATCACCTTTCAAATGCGATTTTATTTTATTTTTTTAAAGCACACAGAGAGATAACACTCCAAATACCTGCTGTCAGAAGTGAATCTTCATGGACTTTCTTTGTAAAGCCAGACAGCTGAAACAGTCTTCATAGTCTAAGATGCCAGTCAACAATGCAAATATATTGCTCAATTACTTAAAGTTAAAGAGTCATGGTTGAATCTAACTTAATTTACCCCAAATCATTCTGCATTGAGTGGTTCTCCACAAACTTCCCAACTATTCTTTGGAAAAGTTGTGGGCTTGCAATGATAGCCAGACATTTCTTTACTGTTTCTTCTTTTGTTAGTAGTGTTAGCATCCTCACAAAGAACTCAAGATGCTACAGGTTGTCACAAGGCTTTGTTCATGATTCCATTTTAGCTTAGATGAATTTTAGCATTGAGATAAATGAACACCTAAGCTAAAATAATGAAGAATAAAGGTATGGCTCTCGGCTCTTGCCCAAAAAAGAGATAATACATTTGAATGAGAATGGGCTACAGTAAGCTCCAACTAAACCACTAAGGAAGAGGTTTTATAGATAATAGTGATGGAAAAGATCAATTTCAACATGCCTGGTGGATATAAAAAGCTATTGAAGTGGACTATCTGCTTACTTCCTGCTCACATACAAAAGAACATTTCATCTCCTGCAAAACCAGACACTCTCTCTTGTTATCAGCTATAAACATTCTCCTGAGGATTCTTTCTAGTCCCTATTCAGAGGCACGCTGTTGGTAAAACCAACAGCTTTAACAGCCAAGACTGAAAAATAGTGTGGGAGCATCAGGGTGGGAGACAGGAGAAAGCCCAGTCCTCCACCTTCCTGCAGCAGCCAAGGGTGGAGCTGCTCAGCCTGCAGTTGCTGGGGCTCTTAGGAATTTCATCCCCACATGGGCTAGGTAGCTTCAGACCAATTTCAAATATACTCTGTGGCTGCACACTGCATAGCATAAATATGTATGGTTGGCCACAAGAACCAAATGCCTTGTTATGTGAAAAAACACCTTCTGGTGCGTGTCCACTTGACAGTTCAGGCTCCTTGGTCTAAGAAGCACATACTCACAAACCTCGGGTTACTAGTTCAGCTGATGGAGTTCCTTAGGGCCATCTCCTTTCTGCTCCACAAGCCCACTCTGTTCCTGACTTCCTGCTCCCCACATAGTTAAGTGCTGCTGCTACTTATCTCATTTTGCTTTATGTGGGGTTTCAGCTTCTTTTTGAGGGTGTTGAACTCCTGGTTAGCCCTGTATCTCCTGATACTCCCCAGGGGCTGTGACATGATACTTCTGTTACTGCAACCGGAGCTCAAAGGGGCCTTTTCTGTCAGCTACTTCATACCCTGCACTTTTAGGAGAACTTACTCTAGGTTAACACCCCTGAGGCTTTTTTCACAAGGGCTTTGATCTAGCTATGCTTGTACAGCCCTGGCTTTGACAACTCAAATTGCAGACCCTTATACAAACTCTTACTAAACTTCTTGTTTGATTTAGTCCATCTTGCTGGCCTATTGAAATCTTTCTGTTCTCCAGTTCTGCTATTCAGTGTATTTCCTATATATCCTAGTTCAATTATCCACAAAGAGGATAAGTGTGACTCTGGATCATCATCAAAATCTTTAACGAGGACAGAGATGAATGAATGCATGAATAAATGAATGAATGAATGAATGAATGAATGAATGGATTTGAAGAAGCTAAGTAAACCAAAGTATCTGTGTCATTATATCTAGAGGTATGTTCATAAAGGGAGGCTGCATGTTAACTCGTTAACATTTCTCATTTCATTATTTAGGAATAATTGATGGTCCGAGCAAGAGATAATAAGACAGGTGAGTTGTATTCAAGATATTCTGGGAAATTTTTCTGAAAGTCCAGAATTAGCTCATTAGAGAAGATTGGGGCAGGAGAAAGGTAAAAGAGAGAAATTAATATCTAAAGGAAAGTAGTTGACTGAGGAAATCTGTAATGTGGGTCATCTACTCATTATAATTAACAATTTTCACAAAGGTTAATTTCATCTTAGCATATAATTGTCAGCTACTGACTTTTTCTCTTATTTAAAAATATTATATTATTTTTAATACACTCTTTTAGTTAGAAAAGATTTTAGACATATGAAAAGATGGGGAGCCCTGGCTGGTGTGGCTCAGTTGGTTGGGCATCTTCCCGGTCACTAGGAGGTTGCTGGTTAGATTCCCAGTCAAGGGCGCATGCCTGGGCTTCTGGGCTCAATCCCTGGTTAGGGGGGTGCCTGGTGGGGGGCATGCAGGAGGCAGCCGATCGATGCTGTGCACTCACACCATGTTTCTCTCTCCCTCTCCTTCCTCGCTTTCTAAAAAATCAATAAAAATATTCTTTAAAAATGAAAGAAAAGAAAATGTAGGGAGATGGCTGGAGGATGAGTCTTAATTGAATCATCTTAATATAATCATCATGATCATTTCATGCTAGTCTTTTTCACATAGACTATTCTTATTTTTTCATGTTTCTACATAGCCTTTCTTCATAATGATTATATTTAATAGCTGCAAAATATTATCCTACTACTGCTGGACATTTCAATTTTATCATTATAAATAATTCCAAAATAATTTAGTTTGATGCTGGAATGGTTGTTAGTTAGGCACACACACCTACACACACTCTTCCCATCCGCCTCCTTCCTCCAAGCCCCTTTCATCTATACACACATGTGCACACAAGTACACACACACACACACATCAACATTCTTGCTTCACTTGAAATTTATACCAGCTTAGTCAAAAAATGACCTGGCCGAATGATTGGAAGGAAAAGATTCTTGTCATGGTGCACAGTCTAGAAAATGTATTTTTTCTTTCTGTTAATATTTTTATGCACATACTCCTTACACAATCATGTAC